AATAAGCCTAGCTGCAGCTGCTAGCAAATCCCAGTTTAAACTGGGGCGGCTTTACTACTGAGGCGGCTACTAATGGTAGCATGAGAGTAGGAGGAGGTGAGTGGCGTCGTGGGTTGGGAAGAAGGGGTCGAATTGAAATGGGGGGGGGGGGGGGGGGGTGCCGAAATGTTGAAACCGAGGCGCGCATTTGACGCGCGCGCCTCGGGAGTCAAGAATCGAGAAATTGGGGGGGGGAGAAATTCGAGTTGACTTGGCGAGAAAAAATTCCTCGCCAAAAAACGACTCGCCCCTCGGAAATCGCGATTACGGTTCAGTGCGGGTGACGCGCTGCTAAGCGCAAAATGCTCCGTGAGATACGCGGAAATAGAACTATTTTAATCTTCTCTTCTCTTTTCAAGCTAAGGAACGCATATAGGGCTGCTGAAATAACTGTTGCAAATGCATTTCGGCCAGTGTAAAGGCCATCATCAGTGCTAACAAGCAGCAAAAGTGGCGAGACCTAGCCTAAGTAGGGAAGAGAGGGCTTGGAAAGAAAGTCCCATCCCCTTTAGTAGCGCCCCCACTGAAATTAAAACAACACCAAAAAACTATTCTAATTTTTCTTAGTCATAAAAATAACTAAGAGCAGCATTAGGTAGTCGTTGGTTGCTGTTCCACCAGAAATAAACGATTCCTTGTTTCCTGTGGCGTGCTCTTGGGGAGCTGTGGCCTGTGTAGTGGTACCAAGCACAGATCACAGACGGAATATCGCAGGGAAAAATGCTAGGCAGGGGAATTGCAGGAGGGGACGCAGGGTGAACGTAGATATGCGTGGGATGTGTTTATTATTTTTATATGAATGTAACCCGCTTAGGCAACGCGCGCACTGAGTCGGGGCTGTCGTGACAGTGTTCTATCATCAACGTGCCCTCGTGTGCTCTTATGCCAGCAGCGTCAAGTGTGCGGTTGTCGCGTGAGGGCTGATGTTGATGTTAGTTGCAGGGTGGCATTTGCATGGGTCTTTGATGATGTGATGGCGATGCATGGTCTTAGGGGGCATGATGGCAGTGCATGCAAATGGTTCCGTGCATGCGTGAGGTGTGTCATGACTGTCGGTGCAGGTGGGTCGTGCGAGGTGTGTGCGTAACATGGATGTGGGTGTAGGGAGGGAGACAGAGGGACAGAGAGACATGTGAATGTGGGAGGCGTAGCCTGTTGTCACATCTTGAAAATTTACCCTGCGAGCGTATGAATGGGGCGGGGGAGATGGATGAGATGATGATAGTAGTGTGGAGCTGCTGGGGTTCGGGTACATCGTGAATGAGAAGCGGGGGGGGGGGGGGGGGGGGGGGTTTTTCGGGGGGGGGCGCGCAGCCCCCTTCGATGATTGAAGTGTAACAGTGGGAGATGGGGCAGGGCGAGAGGTGTCAGATCAAGCGCGGTGCATGCAACCGGGCAAAGCAATCATGTCGCACTACCTTCTGATGCATCTCGAGCAGCCTCGCTCGTGAACGTAGCACGGACTAGCACATTCCTGAGCTTAGGTGCCGCACGAAAGCAGAAGAAAGGCTGTCTAGGGCATAGGGTAGCTACGATTTCTTTGTTCGTCTCGGAGCGAAGCAGTGATTTTACGCGTGGGTGCTCGCAGGCTCGGGTGGTACTCTAGCACAAAGGGCAGTACCCTGTTGTCTCGCTGTTTACCTTTTTCCGAGTGTCGCATGCGTGTGTCCCTGTCGCTATACTGCACCTCGTCGAAGATCGGCTGGATGAAAGTTGAGTGGTAGCCGCGTGCTTTCAAGCGCTCTGCGAACGAAGCTTTCATGCGGTGAAAGCCTTCCTCGGAGGACTCCCTAAGGAGGTAACGGTACAGCTCACCGATAATGAAGCCTCGTTTGCAGTGTCGTGGGTGCGCAGAGCGAAACGGGAAATATTGGTAGACGTTCAACGGCTTTTGGTATACAGAGGTATCCAAAAAACCGCCTTCCGTGTTCTCTTTCCTTGTCGTTTCCCATTGCGTACCTTTGGTGAAAGTGATGTCGAGCAGGGTAAACGAAGTGGTGCTGATCTCGGTGGTGATGCGAATCCCAACTAGGAGGCTGTTGTATCCCTCTATCCAGAGATGCAAATCTGCTAGCGACCCAGTCCAGACGACCAGCCCATCGTCAATGTATCGCCTGTGCAGCAGTACATGTTCTGAGAGAGCGGGAAAACGGTCCTCCATGACGGTTTGTCGAGCCAGCTCATGAAAAGTACAGCGTAGATTACTGCAACCGGTGTCCCCATGGCAGTACCCTTGATTTGCCGATAGAACCTGCCGTCAAACTGAAGGTGGTTTTCAGTCATGACCAGCTCTAGCAGCTCGCAACACGCGCTGAGCTGCTTGGCGGGGCTCTTTTCTGAGTACAGCGGGTAGCCGTGTTTGCGTACGAACCTGTCTTTGGTTTCCCGTTTATGGCGTCGATGCCCTGCTGCAGCGGGATTGATGGATAAAGGCTTTCCACATCATATGTAAGGAAGATGGCGTGTGTTCGGGTATAGGGAGGGTGCGGAGCGTGTGTAGTAGGGTGATTGAGTCTGGTAGATGGGCTGGATAGCGAGCGTCAAGAGCGGGCGTAAATAGTGATCTAGTACCTGGCTGGCTGTGCTCGAAGACCCAAAGCGTGGAGGAGCATATCGGTCTACCTTTGACTGGAGTTTTTGTGCAGTTTCGGTAACAGGTAAAACCTACATACGCGGAACTGTTCGTGCCACAGTACCCTCGTGTTCGTCAACCCTTGGTTGCAGGATATACTCGATGGTTTCCCGAGGGAAACTCCTTTTGTATGTCGAGCACCAAGCGTCTAGACGTTCGAAGAGATCAGTCATTGGTACCGACTCCACCTCTGTGTAGGTGTCAGTGTCCGACAGCTGTCTGAGTGCCTCTGTGCGATACCATGCAGTGTCCAGTAAGGCCAGCCCTAGATTTTTGTCTGCTGGCTTCACTACGACATTCGGGTTCTTGCTCAAACGCTTCACGCATCGCAACGAGGCATTGCTCATGTTCCTGCGAGCTGGGCGCATCATCAGCGGAAGGTGTTCCCGTATCTTTTCTTCTACCTCTGCTATGTAACGCTCGACAGGAGGCGCTGCGGGGTCTGGATCGTAGGATGGTTTGGGGATGCGGAAGCGAGGGGCTGGTCTGTCAGAGGAGAAGTGTGAGATCAATCTCACACTTCTTACGAAACGCGCGAGTGCACTCTTTATGGTTGTTGCGGTGGGACGGTGGAGGTGTCGGTATGAACGGAGAGACCTAGGCTTAGGCCTTCCAGCTCAGCGGGTGATAGGGTAAGTGTGGATTTGTTGTGTATGAACTTGGAGTGGAGCTCGTCTTGGATGGTTACCTGTGAGGCTCGCAGGAGACGTTGTCAGGGTTGGGGTCAGAGAACGCCTAAGGCTGTCTTTTCTGGGTCTCGAACGGGGCTTTTTACCGGTTTCTGGCAGGGCTCACCTGCTGGTTGGTATCATCTGATGTGGTTGAACTGTGTCGTGGAAGGGGGCTTATGTCGTTTCTGCGTGGCATGTCATCTGCTGGTGTAGTGTTTGAGGTGTTGTGCCCCGGGGTTAGTGGGATGGGCTACTATGTTGCCAGGGCTAATATTTGGGCTGCTTTGTCGGTGGGTTTCATTGGGAGGTGTGTTATGTGGTCTGAGGCGTAGGGCTTGGCTTAGCGACAGGGGTGGGTTTGGTGGGGGCCGGCGTACATACCTAGGGGTAACGCTGTCGTCCGGGATTGTTTTTGGCGTCGCTGCGGTATCTGCGTTAGGGTGGGTGGGGAGGGGAGGGATCTTCACCATAAAAAATGCCATGGGCCATGGGGACGGCAGCAGGGCCATAGTTAGTGTTAAGTGGTGTCCCTCTGCCCTCGTGTGGCCCAAACACTATCTGGGCTTGTGGTCCTTGAGCTACCTGCTGGGTGGGGGGACCTGCGGTTGCATAAGGGTATGTTGGTGGCGCTGGTGTTGCTGACATGACCGATATGTTTGAAAGCGCCGGTTGAGCTGGTGCCGAGGTCTGTGGCAGGGGGGCAGCCTGCTGGGGAAGAAGAAGGGATGTGTATGAGGCAGGTAGTGGCCGCCATGGTTCATGCTGGGATGCATGGGTGCTAAGGGGTATGGCTGGTACATGCTGGGGAATGCGGGGTTTGCCATGAAGGTATAGGCGGGTGCTGCTGGTGCTTGAGGGGCGGGCTGGGCAGGGGTGTCTGGCTGTGGTGCGGTCTGCTCTGGTGCAGTTTGAGTGCGGTCAGCTGTGCCTGGCGCCTCTCGAGCAGTGCGGTCAAGTGCGGGTCCTGGATCGGGCTGTTGCCCGGTTTGCTCTGGCTGTCCTTGACCTAAATGTGTGCTCTGAGGCTGTTCTCTCTGTGCGCTTCTCAGCTGGCCCCTATCGTCCCGGTGTTCCCTCTGTTGTGCCCGTCCCGGTGCCCTCTGTGGTGCACCCCTGCTCTCGTGCATCGCTGGTCTGTCGTGTTGTGAGGGGTGTTGGGGTGCCATGCGGATAGCATAGTGCTGCTGCCATGGTGCTTGGGGAGCTGTGCGGGCTGTGTCAGTGTGGCGTTGCCTAGGCCGGTTTACCTTCAACCCACGCATAGCTACCTTCACCGCCGCAGCAGTCGCAATGGCTGCCTGCGGACGACTGCGAGGTCCTCACTGCCGTCTGCAAGCGTCCTCCCCGCTGTGTGCCCTCAGTGTACCCCGGACGTGTTGAAGGACGAGGTCGTCACCGGTATCGGCTGCGCTGCTACTCCGGCTGCTGTCGATGCTGGAGCTGTGCCTGCAGCCCCTGGTGTTGCTGCTGCTGGTGCTGGGGCTGGCTGCGCAGTGTCATTAGTTGAGGCTATTGCTGCTGCTGGTCCTGCTGCTCCCTGCACTTCTGTTGCAGTGGCTGCTGGTCCTGCTGCTGTAGCAACCTCGCCTCCCCCCGGCCTCTCTGCTGATGTTGCTGCTGCTGGAAGAGCCGCTGTCCTCCCCGCGGTTCCCCCTGCCTCAGGGGCTGTCGCTGCTGCTGTGGGTTGCTGTGAGGTGGCTCCGTTTCGGGCCTTGTGTTTTTTTCGCTTCTCTTCGGCGTTGTGCCCTGCTCTTTCCTGCTACCTTCCCGTGCTCTGTTGTAGGCCCACTCTTAGACTGGCGCTGCTCCAAGGCCTCTACCCGCTGCTGTAGGGGGCCAACCAGTGTTTTCATCAGCCCGAGCAGGTCGGTAGAAGGATCTGCTTGTATCTGCTCCACCTGCGCCTGTTCACCCCGTGCCTTCTCCCGTTTAGCTGCCCCCCTTGCCTTTGAGTTGCGGTTGCCCTTGATCCACACGGCATGATACATCAGCTCTCGTGCCATGCCACGTGCCATGTAGTCAGCGGCCAGCTCCTTGAGGTGAGCATCGGGTGCAGGGGTACCAGGTGCTGCATGGGTCTCGAAAAAGTGAAGGTCTTTCTCCAGGAAGCTCTCGAAGCGAGTGTGTGTCCGTGCCGCCCACACCTCTGCTGCCGCTTCCCAGTGAGCCTTCTCCTTCTCTTTGTACCCCATCAGAGTCAGCTGGGCCTTTGTTTTGAAGGTTTTCAGCTCATTGTCTAGGGCCTGGTTCAAACTCTCCTGTAGGGCAGGGTCGGTTAGCTGTAGCGTGGGGGTTGAAATCCGGAGAGCGTGGGAAACTTCCCCATCCCTGAACTGCTGCTGAAGCTCGCACAGGCCGTTCGATACTTTGCTGTAGGTGCGAAGGCAGCTCTTGAATGAAGCCAGCTCCTTCTCGATCGCCTTGCGCAGGAGCTTAGGCAAGCTCTTGAAGGGTGAGGAAGCAGGGGGCTCTGGTGGTGTCGTGTTGAGTAGCATGGACTGCATATCTTCGAAGAAACGATGCCAAACAGTAGGGAGGTCTTCTTCTTCCTTCAGCCCATATGCTGCCTCTAGGCCCTTCATGCCGAACTGCTCACCCCGCATGAGAGCTGCCGCTGCCTTGCCAATCTCTCTCTTTGTCAGCTTCAAACCCTTTGGGGTTGCATCCTCCTGGCTCGTTGGGCTCATGGGCTGCTCGGGTGGCTCCGCTTCGTCCTCTCCTCCGCATGGGTCAAACTCCACGGGGCAGTAGAGGATACGGGTCCCATCCCTATTAGGGCCTTCATCCTTGGTCCCCTTGCTGCTGCTGCTGCTGCTATCGCTCGGCTGCTGATGAGGCTGTTGTGCTTGTGGTGCGGCTGCTGCTGTGTCATCGTGTCCCGGCCAGGTCGGTGTGAGGCTGTCCGGGCGGCTCTGTCCCTGCTGCAGCGTGGTAGTGGGTGGCACGATAGGTGCTGTTCCGTTAGGGGGTAGCTCATCAGTGCCCTTGCAAGCTCGTGGGAGATCACTTATGCGGCTGCTTGTGACAACCAAAGGTTCTCCCAACCTCATTGTTGCTAGCACTGAAATCCCTGCCCTTGCTCGTCTCGTGTCACCAGCTTCTTCCGCATGCTGTCCTGCCCCCCTGCATTGTCGTGGCTGCGCTGGTTCTTGCTCCCTCATTCAGTTTCACCTGCTCCCTGTCGTTGCTTCCTGCTGCTGGGGTAGCTGTGACGGTTGTGTCTGTATCTGCCATGGCCTGCCCTCTCCTGTCCTCTTCCTCCAAAGCAGCTGGTGCCGCTGTTGCGGTGGGCTGTTGTTCACGTTTGCTCCACCACATCCTTGCATGCCCCTGTCACCGCTCCTCTCATGCCGTTGGGTCCAGCACCCTGTATGAAGAGGCTGCTGGTGTTTCCCACCTGCAGCATGCCTGGCATTGGGCTGGTTTTGTGCTGCCGGTGGGTTCGGACTTGGTTGGGGGGCGATGGGAGCTGGCGTGTGCGTAGGAGGAGGAGCTGGTGAATCAGGGGTCACGATCCCTGGCAGTGGGTTGGTGTGTGAAGGGTGTACTAGTGCTGTATCTGTCACCGCCGGTGTCACTGCTGCGCCACCTGCTGCTGCTGTCCCTGCTGTGTTTGCCGCTGTTCCGGCCGGTGTTGCAGTTGCCAAAGCTGTTGGCGCCACTGCTGTGTGAGTTGCTGTTGGTGTCGCTGCTGCCATGACTGTTGCTGTGCTTGCTGTTCTTACTGTTGCTGCTGCGGCTAATGCCTGAGGGGCATGGGGTGCTGATGCTGCTGTTCCTGGTGCCGTTGCTGCCTCACCCGTGACCGGTGCTCGTGCCGTGTTCCCTGCCGCTGGAGTAGTTGCTGCTGCTCCGAATTCAGCTGCTGCCGCCGTCAGTGCTTCACGATATATCGCGTGCCACGGGGGGGATCCAGTCGGGGAAATTGTACGGAGCATGGTTGATGCTCCGTTGACAATGACCTGGTACCAGTCAATCGGTCTCTGGTCGGCAGAGGGCTCTGACTGGGTGTGTCTCGGTGGAGCTAAGGACCCTGCTGCTGCCGCGCCTGAGCCTGATGGTGTTGGTGTGAGGGTGGTCAGTGCTGCAGCAGCAGTTTCTGCCACAGCCAGGAAATGAACCGCTGCTGTAGGTGTAGCTGAAGCTGCAGGCGTGTCTGCCATATTGCCTGCATGTGCCTCTGCACCAGCGACAGTCGGTGACCTGGTAGGTGAGTCGGCCGTTGGTGTGCCCATTGGTGCTGAAATCTCAGGCGTAGTGGCTGGCACACCGTGGTCATGTGCGCCTGCCCATGGGCCTACACCTCCCCCCGTCTCCTCTCCAGCCATTGGCTCAGCGTGTTCGCCTTGTTCTGAGCTGGCGGAATGGACGGAAGCACCCGGGATGGGGAATTTTCTGCCGAGGCGAAATCCGCCTCTGTTGCCTCTGAGAAATCTGATCCAGCCTCCGACGCACCCGCTCCTGATGTTCCCCGTGCCGCTGCAGCTCTGAATCTGACGCCAAGCCGCCTCCTGACTGAGCTTAGCTGATAGTGGGTATGGCGGCTATTTCTTGATGTTTGTGCTCTAGTGCCTAAGTAAACCGTCATACTAGCTGCCGGCCTCCGACTTCTTCGTGCGATCTGTAGTACTTCGCGCGGCGTAGTTTAGGGTTTGATTAGAAAAATAAGCCTAGCTGCAGCTGCTAGCAAATCCCAGTTTAAACTGGGGCGGCTTTACTACTGAGGCGGCTACTAAGGTAGCATGAGAGTAGGAGGAGGTGAGTGGCGCGTGGGTTGGGAAGAAGGGGTCGAATTGAAATGGGGGGGGGGGGGGGGGGGGGTGCCGAAATGTTGAAACCGAGGCGCGCATTTGACGCGCGCGCCTCGGGAGTCAAGAATCGAGAAATTGGGGGGGGGAGAAATTCGAGTTGACTTGGCGAGAAAAAAATTCCTCGCCAAAAAACGACTCGCCCTCGGAAATCGCGATTACGGTTCAGTGCGGTGACGCGCTGCTAAGCGCAAAATGCTCCGTGAGATACGCGGAAATAGACCTATTTTAATCTTCTCTTCTCTTTTCAAGCTAAGGAAACGCATTAGGGCTGCTGAAATAACTGTTGCAAATGCATTTCGGCCAGTAGAGGCCATCATCAGTGCTAACAGCAGCAAAAGTGGCGAGACCTAGCCTAAGTAGGGAAGAGAGGGTTGGGAAAGAAAGTCCCATCCCCTTTAGTAGCGCCCCACTGAAATTAAAACAACACCAAAAAACTATTCTAATTTTTTCTTAGTCATAAAAATAACTAAGAGCAGCATTAGGTAGTCGTTGGTTGCTGTTCCACCAGAAATAAACGATTCCTTGTTTCCTGTGGCGTGCTCTTGGGGAGCTGTGGCCTGTGTAGTGGTACCAAGCACAGATCACAGACGGAATATCGCAGGGAAAAATGCTAGGCAGGGGAATTGCAGGAGGGGACGCAGGGTGAAAGTAGATATGCGTGGGATGTGTTTATTATTTTTATATGAATGTAAACCCGCTTAGGCAACGCGCGCACTGAGTCGGGGCTGTCGTGACAGTGTTCTATCATCAACGTGCCCTCGTGTGCTCTTATGCCAGCAGCGTCAAGTGTGCGGTGTCGCGTGAGGGCTTGATGTTTGATGTTAGTTGCAGGGTGGCATTTGCATGGGTCTTTGATGATGTGATGGCGATGCATGGTCTTAGGGGGCATGATGGCAGTGCATGCAAATGGTTCCGTGCATGCGTGAGGTGTGTCATGACTGTCGGTGCAGGTGGGTCGTGCGAGTGTGTGCGTACATGGATGTGGGTGTAGGGAGGGAGACAGAGGGACAGAGAGACATGTGAATGTGGGAGGCGTAGCCTGTTGTCACATCTTGAAAATTTACCCTGCGAGCGTATGAATGGGGCGGGGGAGATGGATGAGATGATGATAGTAGTGTGGAGCTGCTGGGGTTCGGGTACATCGTGATGAGAAGCGGGGGGGGGGGGGGGGGGGGGGGTTTTCGGGGGGGGGCGCGCAGCCCCCTTCGATGATTGAAGTGTAACAGTGGGAGATGGGGCAGGGCGAGAGGTGTCAGATCAAGCGCGGTGCATGCAACCGGGCAAAGCAATCATGTCGCACTACCTTCTGATGCATCTCGAGCAGCCTCGCTCGTGAACGTAGCACGGACTAGCACATTCCTGAGCTTAGGTGCCGCACGAAAGCAGAAGAAAGGCTGTCTAGGGCATAGGGTAGCTACGATTTCTTTGTTCGTCTCGGAGCGAAGCAGTGATTTTACGCGTGGGTGCTCGAGGCTCGGGTGGTACTCTAGCACAAAGGGCAGTACCCTGTTGTCTCGCTGTTTACCTTTTTCCGAGTGTCGCATGCGTGTGTCCCTGTCGCTATACTGCACCTCGTCGAAGATCGGCTGGATGAAAGTTGAGTGGTAGCCGCGTGCTTTCAAGCGCTCTGCGAACGAAGCTTTCATGCGGTGAAAGCCTTCCTCGGAGGACTCCCTAAGGAGGTAACGGTACAGCTCACCGATAATGAAGCCTCGTTTGCAGTGTCGTGGGTGCGCAGAGCGAAACGGGAAATATTGGTAGACGTTCAACGGCTTTTGGTATACAGAGGTATCCAAAAAACCGCCCTTCCGTGTTCTCTTTCCTTGTCGTTTCCCATTGCGTACCTTTGGTGAAAGTGATGTCGAGCAGGGTAAACGAAGTGGTGCTGATCTCGGTGGTGATGCGAATCCCAACTAGGAGGCTGTTGTATCCCTCTATCCAGAGATGCAAATCTGCTAGCGACCCAGTCCAGACGACCAGCCCATCGTCAATGTATCGCCTGTGCAGCAGTACATGTTCTGAGAGAGCGGGGAAAACGGTCCTCCATGACGGTGTCGAGCCAGCTCATGAAAAGTACAGCGTAGATTACTGCAACCGGTGTCCCCATGGCAGTACCCTTGATTTGCCGATAGAACCTGCCGTCAAACTGAAGGTGGTTTTCAGTCATGACCAGCTCTAGCAGCTCGCAACACGCGCTGAGCTGCTTGGCGGGGCTCTTTTCTGAGTACAGCGGGTAGCCGTGTTTGCGTACGAACCTGTCTTTGGTTTCCCGTTATGGCGTCGATGCCCTGCTGCAGCGGGATTGATGGATAAAGGCTTTCCACATCATATGTAAGGAAGATGGCGTGTTCGGGTATAGGGAGGGTGCGGAGCGTGTGTAGTAGGGTGATTGAGTCTGGTAGATGGGCTGGAGCGAGCGTCAAGAGCGGGCGTAAATAGTGATCTAGTACCTGGCTGGCTGTGCTCGAAGACCCAAAGCGTGGAGGAGCATATCGGTCTACCTTTGACTGGAGTTTTGTGCAGTTTCGGTAACAGGTAAAACCTACATACGCGGAACTGTTCGTGCACAGTACCCTCGTGTTCGTCAACCCTTGGTTGCAGGATATACTCGATGGTTTCCCGAGGGAAACTCCTTTTGTATGTCGAGCACCAAGCGTCTAGACGTTCGAAGAGATCAGTCATTGGTACCGACTCCACCTCTGTGTAGGTGTCAGTGTCCGACAGCTGTCTGAGTGCCTCTGTGCGATACCATGCAGTGTCCAGTAAGGCCAGCCCTAGATTTTTGTCTGCTGGCTTCACTACGACATTCGGGTTCTTGCTCAAACGCTTCACGCATCGCAACGAGGCATTGCTCATGTTCCTGCGAGCTGGGCGCATCATCAGCGGAAGGTGTTCCCGTATCTTTTCTTCTACCTCTGCTATGTAACGCTCGACAGGAGGCGCTGCGGGGTCTGGATCGTAGGATGGTTTGGGGATGCGGAAGCGAGGGGCTGGTCTGTCAGAGGAGAAGTGTGAGATCAATCTCACACTTCTTACGAAACGCGCGAGTGCACTCTTTATGGTTGTTGCGGTGGGAGGTGGAGGTGTCGGGATGAACGAGAGACCTAGGCTTAGGCCTTCCAGCTCAGCGGGTGATAGGGTAAGTGTGGATTTGTTGTGTATGAACTTGGAGTGGAGCTCGTCTTGGATGGTTACCTGTGAGGCTCGCAGGAGACGTGTCAGGGTTGGGGTCAGAGAACGCCTAAGGCTGTCTTTTCTGGGTCTCGAACGGGGCTTTTTACCGGTTCTGGCAGGGCTCACCTGCTGGTTGGTATCATCTGATGTGGTTGAACTGTGTCGTGGAAGGGGGCTTATGTCGTTTCTGCGTGGCATGTCATCTGCTGGTGTAGTGTTTGAGGTGTTGTGCCCGGGGTTAGTGGGATGGGCTACTATGTTGCCAGGGCTAATATTTGGGCTGCTTTGTCGGTGGGTTTCATTGGGAGGTGTGTTATGTGGTCTGAGGCGTAGGGCTTGGCTTAGCGACAGGGGTGGGTTTGGTGGGGGCCGGCGTACATACCTAGGGGTAACGCTGTCGTCCGGGATTGTTTTTGGCGTCGCTGCGGTATCTGCGTTAGGGTGGGTGGGGAGGGGAGGGATCTTCACCATAAAAAATGCATGGGCATGGGGACGGCAGCAGGGCCATAGTTAGTGTTAAGTGGTGTCCCTCTGCCCTCGTGTGGCCCAAACACTATCTGGGCTTGTGGTCCTTGAGCTACCTGCTGGGTGGGGGGACCTGCGGTTGCATAAGGGTATGTTGGTGGCGCTGGTGTTGCTGACATGACCGATATGTTTGAAAGCGCCGGTTGAGCTGGTGCCGAGGTCTGTGGCAGGGGGGCAGCCTGCTGGGGGAAGAAGAAGGGATGTGTATGAGGCAGGTAGTGGCCGCCATGGTTCATGCTGGGATGCATGGGTGCTAAGGGGTATGGCTGGTACATGCTGGGGAATGCGGGGTTTGCCATGAAGGTATAGGCGGGTGCTGCTGGTGCTTGAGGGGCGGGCTGGGCAGGGGTGTCTGGCTGTGGTGCGGTCTGCTCTGGTGCAGTTTGAGTGCGGTCAGCTGTGCCTGGCGCCTCTCGAGCAGTGCGGTCAAGTGCGGGTCCTGGATCGGGCTGTTGCCCGGTTTGCTCTGGCTGTCCTTGACCTAAATGTGTGCTCTGAGGCTGTTCTCTCTGTGCGCTTCTCAGCTGGCCCCTATCGTCCCGGTGTTCCCTCTGTTGTGCCCGTCCCGGTGCCCTCTGTGGTGCACCCCTGCTCTCGTGCATCGCTGGTCTGTCGTGTTGTGAGGGGTGTTGGGGTGCCATGCGGATAGCATAGTGCTGCTGCCATGGTGCTTGGGGAGCTGTGCGGGCTGTGTCAGTGTGGCGTTGCCTAGGCCGGTTTACCTT